CAAGCGAGCCTCCTTTAATCTGGTTGGAGAGATGATGCCACTTTGAGATGGACTGATACTGTTGGAGACATTCAGAGGACCATCTTCTCCAAAAATGCTCCACCTTTTGTTAGAGGAATTGCCAACGAGTTAAACGATTAGTCGGTTGGTCGGCAAGACTAGGTTCCGGTATGGTGTTCAGAGGTCCACCGATAAGAAAATGGCCAGGAGTAAGAGCGGAGATGTCATCACTATCGTCTGTTTCCACTATTACGATTATATCGATTCTATATTGGCAGCACTACCAAACGGACGAGGTAAATAGCCACGCGAACGAATACACCGAGAGTCTGACTGGCGGCACTGTCGAACGTTCGATATGCTCATGCGTCACTAGCAAGTTCACACAACTATTCGATTGGTAACCGCACTTGTAAACAGACGGGTGAATAGGTAACCCGGCGCGCCACCATTAATTAGCACGAATGAACCGGAATACTGTTGGACCGAAGCTTTAATGAACGGACGTCGTGCTAACGAGTCACTAGCACGTACCCACAACGATTCGATCGGTATCGGCGCCCGTGAATTTCACAATTTTCTGACTTTGGCTTTCCTTTCCAGAACAAGAAAAAAAATCACTCCCGCAAGTTGGCGCAACACTTGCACACGCGAACAAACGTATCCGGCTCGAAGGACCAAAAAATGTCTGAATAAGAATCTGGCACGGTTTCTTCGCGTGAACTCTATAATTATTGTCCTTCTTTTTTTTTAACCAAAAAGAACTTAAATGATCGAACACTGACACGAGTTACACATTGCCGGATGACTCTGAGACTGGCTGAATGGAAGGAATCAGAAACGTGGCGAGAGTCGCGTAGAATCAGGAAAGTGACGAAAGCCGCGTTAGTCCGGGAAAGCGGCGAAGAGCCGCGCAGGATTCGGGAGGGCGATAAGAGCTACGTAGGAACCGGGAAGGCGGTGAGAACAACGCAGGAATCAGGAAGGCGGCGAGATCCACATTGATCCGGGAAACCGGCGAGGAGCCGCGCGGGATTCGGGAAGGCGATGAGAGCCACGTAGGAACCGGGAAGGCGGCGGGAACAGCGCAGGAATCAGGAAGGCGGCGAGATCCACGTTGATCCGGGAAACCGACGAGGAGCCGCGCGGGATTCGGGAAGGCGATGAAAGCCACGTAGGAACCGGGAAGGCGGCGGGAACAGCGCAGGAATCAGGAAGGCAGCGAGATCCACGTTGGTCCGGGAAACCGGCGAGGAGCCGCGCGGGATTCGGGAGGGCGATGAGAGCCACGTAGGAACCGGGAAGGCGGCAGGAACAGCGTAGGAATCAGGAAGGCGGCGAGAGCCACGGTGGTCCGGGAAACCGGCGAGGAACCGCGCGGGACTCAGGTGGTCCACATAGAAAACGGGGAGGCGACGAAAAAAAACACCTAGAAAAAGGAAGAAATAAACGTCTGGTCTCGACGAACTCCTAGGAAAGAATGCTCTACTCCTTTTTTTGTTTTAAAAAGAACATCGATTAACAACTTTTCAGCTTTCTCGGCTGCTAGGCATCCTGATGTTTTTCTTTTAAAAACATAAGAAGGAAATGCCTTCAAAGCGCGAGCGTGGAACTCGGAGATGAGCCACGCAAAGTAGCAAGTGAACTCAACGACGAGCCGCGAGAGCTCACCATGTATCTCCGCCCCCATGGGCTTTCGAATTAGTTATTTGATTCTACTTTTGAATTAAAAACTCCGCCGCCGTGGGCCAACCAATTAATTCTCCGCCGCCGTGGGCTAACTAATAACTCTCCGCCGTCGTGGGCTAACGATTAATTCTCCGCCGCCGTGGGTCAATGATTAACTCTCCGCCGCCGTGGGCCAATGATTAACTCTCCACCGCCGTAGGCTAACGATTAACTTAAGATTTTCCAAAACAAAATTTTTACTTGCTAGAGAGATCCTAAAATGTCGTTTAGGAGTCGTTCAAGATTCTTCAACACTCAGCAAGCAGTTGTTCCAAATCATCATTGTCGCACTTCCGAGAGCTTCTAAGGTGTTGTTTGCTGATTAGACTGAAATCATTGCTTTTAAACTGCTTAGGCCAAAATGCGTACATATCACACGATAAAACATCTTCGCTAGGAAAAGGATAAATCGATTCGTATGGTCTTATCGCATTTTTCTTGTTGGAATTGGTACAAATATAATATCGGATATGTACCTTATCTGTTGCCATGTTTGATTCTACTGAACTGAATACTTTTGAAAATTATGTTGGGCCTTCCGCCATATTAAATGTCATTTTTAATGTTATATGTCAACACTACATAAACGCAAACGAACGGAAAAATCAATTGATTTTAAAATGAATTCCTTAACTGCTTAAAAAAAATTGGATTATTCATTTGTACACCTAATAAGATCTAGACCTTAAAGAACTTTATGATCTGGATGATCATCTATATAATTTCATCTGGATAAAAACAATCATTGCTTTTAACACATATTAAAGTAAACATTGCTTTACATTGCTTAATAACATCGCTTATAGCATATCGAATTTAACAGTCTCAGTTTCATTAAGAAAAAGGATCGTCTGCAACATCAAATTTACTTTTCATTTATTTGACTACTTATCTTTATAAATTATTCTACCTTACGCTAAGATACAACTTTCCCATTATATTACTTCTAATCGAAATATTACAATACTTCTAAGTATAAAATAAGCGAAAGGGCGCTTATGCTGGTATGTAGCAACGCGACTTAAGTATTTCTACCTACGCAGTACTCCTTAAAGTGGCGGAAATAAATCCGTACCGTATCCCGTCAACGACGAATCTGCTGCTACTTGTCGGTGATCGCGATTACAGTTTGGCTTTACCAGAAATCATACGAGGCAGGAGTCGAAATTCTTTCGACGATGTGCCCGACCATCCCAATTCGTTGATCGAGCATCAAACCATTACCGCACATTATTACATTGACAGAAAAACAATTAGGCCTCTAAACTACATTTCGTTCACGAACACAATAAATTTGTCGTTCTCTCTCTCTCTCTCTCTCTCTCTCTCTCTCTCTCTCTCTCTCTCTCTCTCTCTCTCTCTCTCTCTCTCTCTCTCTCTCTCTCTCTCTCTCTCTCTCTCTCTCTCTCTCTCTCTCTCTCTCTCTCTCTCTCTCTCTCTCTCTCTCTCTCTCTCTCTCTCTCTCTCTCTCTCTCTCTCTCTCTCTTCTCTCTCTCTCTCTCTCTCTCTCTCTCTCTCTCTCTCTCTCTCTCTCTCTCTCTCTCTCTCTCTCTCTCTCTCTCTCTCTCTCCTCTCTCTCTCTCTCTCTCTCTCTCTCTCTCTCTCTCTCTCTCTCTCTCTCTCTCTCTCTCTCTCTCTCTCCTCTCTCTCTCTCTCTCTCTCTCTCTCTCTCTCTCTCTCTCTCTCTCTCTCTCTCTCTCTCTCTCTCTCTCTCTCTCTCTCTCTCTCTCTCTCTCCATCTCCCCCCTCTCCCTCTCCTTTCCCCCCTTTTCCCTCTTCCTCTAACTCTTTTCCCCCTCTCTCTCTTTCTTTTCACCCTCCTCTCTCTCTCCCTTCTCTCTTTCTTGCTTTTTCACATATACTCATGTGTCTCTAATTTCAAACGATGAAAATGTTCATCATAGAAATGCACTAGGCGGTATCGGTAAAAGGCTCGATTCCGACGGGAAATAACCGCAGTAACAATAATCCGTAAATTGGAAGAGAGCTCAACCATGAGCCGTGGCGGATGAGGCGCGTGCATAAGATTGGATCACGTCGTTTACTCTACGGGATTAGAAACAAGTCGGTGCTTATAAAACATTATATAGTGCAACGATGGATACTTGGATCATTGGTTCCGCTCGCTCAAAGTTGCTCCACTTTACGACTATGTGTATATTGACTTTTGTGTGAGTGTGTATGTATTTTACGAAAAATTAAACAATCGATGCATCGAAACCAAAGCTTTTCGATTTTGATACGCTATCTCTTTTTTTCGCTTTCCCTCCCTCTCTCTCTCCCCCTCTCTCTCTCTCTCTCTTTCTCTTTTTCTTCTCCTCCTTTCATAAATACCGAGACCAAAATTTCAATTTGCAATATTTCTTTAAGCTTTCTTGTTACAGTTTATGACGATTCCATTTCGCATAACTCTTGCATATCTTTGAAAAGTTTAAACCGGGTTCAGTTGAACAATATGAGCCTAATAAGTAAAGCGCTTAAATGTTATATTCATGTCGCGTGATTCGCGGCATTATTCCTCCCATTTTACGCCACTGATTATTCTTATAGACATTAGAGATACGTATCAGTTAATCTAGATGTAAGTACTTTTTTTTTTACGGGCAGCTCGCAGCATGTGTGAACAAACCGGATAAAACTTTACACAGTTATCTATGAGCCTCATGCCATTTTCATAAGTGTAATGTGGGTAAGTAAAAGTGTTCACTTAACACACAAACATTAAGGGCCTTATCAGACAAATATACAAATCTATGCTCCTGTATAGATAGTCGTTAATATTAAGTACGTTAATGTAGCCCCACAATCGTATAATAATAATATTAATTAATAATGATGACAATAAATCGTAATCGTAATAATAATATAGGCAAACTCTCGTAGCGTTGTACTTAGCGTTATGTAAAATATTAGCGATATTTTTGTCTTTTTTTCTTTTTATGTACTGAATGTTCGAGTACGGACAGAAAAATCGATTTAAGTTAACTTTTTATATATATTAGCAATATGGAGGGAATTCACTAACAACTTGCTCGAAGAGTGCAGCATATTCTCACACATCTATAAACAAATATAAAAACTCTTCTTACGCGTCACCCCGATGCATTCTCACCCTTTACGCCGATTGAACAATGTGAAAATACGTGCCATCTAATCGAACACGTCATACTTTGCGAACACGCGTCATTAATCGGACGTGGCGTCGTGGGCATTGTCGTCCATTACTACACCCCGTGAGTTGATTACTTTTAGCGGTTCATGAATGCGATTGCCAATTTTCTTTCTTTTCTTTTTCCCTGATCTCAATTCGATCGATTTCGCATGACAAAAGCGGAAAATTCGAATGAAATGTCGCGTGCTCTTTTCTTCCGTTTTCTCTTTTTCGTTTCACATATCTTTTATTATGACAAAAATAAAGTGTCGACGCGCTCCTATACATCAAGTACGCATGATGGAAACTTGATTCTGGTGCGTACATATAAATGGAGCTAATAATATCATTTAAAGCATCAGACACAGCTATTACCTCTTGATCATTTCGCCTTTGTTCTTTCTGATGCTCTCTCCTTCTCTCCCTCCTTCCCTCTCTCTCTCTCTCTCTCTCTCTCTCTCTCTCTCTCTCTCTCTCGCTCTCTCACTCTCAGTTTCTTGCTCTTTTCTTCATCGCGTTCCTCTCTCATCCGTGTTCACATCCTTTCACGCACGAACAAAACAATATATGATTATCATGTAGAAGCACGCTCATAACGAATGACAATACACCGTTATTAACACGTTGCACACGTAACATCCTTCTATACGATTAAAAATTGTACGATTATCGGCGACGACTGGGATTACGAGTACGTCGCAACTCCCATTACCCGCCAGTGCACAGCGAAAATCGATATTACGATCTTAACGCTATCGCGATTTCGCAAGCCCAGAGTGTGATTTGATCGCTAAAATGACGGCATTATGTATTTACTTTTCTTTTATACATCTATACGTAAACATTACGGTGTATCTTTTAAGTATATCGATACCTAAGATGCTGTGGATCGCAGATGATTCGTGGTAATGGTAATTCTTGACTAGACACGCGCTGAGGTACCGAAATCTGTGCTTTTACGCTCTCGTGCCAAGCGTCTTAGATGTTAGATCTATTTCGATATATATCTGACTCTTTAAATGTCGAGAAACGACGTTATCAAATTTGTCAATGAAGTGGAAGGTTTGGCCGCGTTTGAAACTATCTATCTACTCTTTCGCGCTTTTTGCTCCTCATCTACTCTCCCACAACTATAACTAAGCGCTTCTAGAGAAGGAGATGTCACTCGTCCACGTATGCGAAGTAAATAATGATTGAGCCACGCGAATACAAGATTGCGTAATAAATGTAGAATCATGGCGTCACTCTTAAAGTATCGCGCCGATCAGCTGCGATCCGTAACACATCCGCTTTGAATGAATTGCATTTACATTTTTCCTTTTTTATTTTTTCTTGTTCACTTTCCTATTTCATATCCCTCACGTTCTCTATACTTTTTGATGTGCCATTTATCATTCTCTAGTACACGAAGAATTTTTATCTACTGTCGTGAAAAGTTCGCAAACACGTCTGTCATCATCGTATGACTAATAAGCATATACAACAAAACAACATCTTAGATAAGCAATCGCTCATTACGTAAGATTAACTGAGATGACGACGATACACTATATCGAGAATACGTATAAACAATTGAATGCTATATTTATATAGTACCCCGTATTTCATTCATGGGGAAGGATTCAGAATGACGATACTAATACTTAGTAGTAATATTACGAGACAGCTATCACACGTTCTACGATGATGTATGAACGAAAATCAAGCTATTAATTCTACCACTTACGCACGATCAAGCATCTTCTTCCCCATCGTTGTTGAATGTCAAGGTAAATTATTTCTTGTTTAACTCTTTCGCTCACACACTTACACTTTCATCTCGGATACTCTACTCTATCTATCGTCACTCGGCGCATCCTAACGATCGCTGATAATGCATTCACACGCAAACTATCCTCGATGAATCGCGGAATGTTCATAAGAATGAATTCGGGATGTTACTTTAGCCTAAATAACTTGCTTTGCTGATTAATATATGTCGCGTGCGAAAATACTAAGAAATATCCTCGCAAAAGTTAAGCTGGACGGCTTTGATAAAAATTAGGATCTTTTTCGAAGGATGCGAACATCAGGGTGTAGAAAGTGTACTAGCGGAAAACTGATACCGGAGACGGTCTTAGAGAACGATCGGTGACATGTTGGTGACCAATGCGTTCACTAGGACGCGACTAGTCATCAGTGATACGTAACGCGTTCGCGTGCATGTAGTTCGAACTGAACGTACGAGGTGCTTAGCCAAAAAGTTCGACGTGAGCGACATTAATACGTCGGCGAAGAATACAGTGCAAACTTCTCGCGATAATACGCGTTTCTCTTCCTCGCTTCCTTTAATATGGAACAAAGCGCGCACGCACGTGTGTGTATGTGACATGAAGAATATATCTGTATTTACACATTGGACATTAATGGCTAAAGTGATTCGTAGCCAAATCCACATGCAGTTTCAGGCATAAAAATAACGTATGTTCAGCTCTGTCATCTCGTCGAGACACGGTTTCCTTTTCTGGTTTTATATCAGCGGTTATTCTCCCGAGTAATGTGTACTTCCTCTTCTCGCGTAGCCTAAGAAGAAATCGTGCAATCGACAACCGCAAACAGCGCGAAAGTAAGTAAATACATTCAGGTCTTCGTTAATTGACTAGCGTTTCGAACAGCACACGTAATGTCTACGCTGTACGAACTTTCGCGATGGCTGGATATCTTTACTCGGCAATTACGTGGAAGTAAACACTTAGAGCTGCGATCGCATCTTGTTTCTCTTGCATTCCGCTGGATTGCCCCATCACAAAGCACTGCACGCAGCCACGAAAGCGAGTTTATTGCTGAACGCTAAAATTCGTGGGTATCTCGATGCCAGACGAATATACGTCACTTCTTTCATTGTTGCTCGTTGCATCTAATTCGAATCCATTTGATATAGCATACTCCGTATACGCCATAAATTATGGCGAATTCTGCGAAAATCTGATAAAGAAAAGCTGACCCATATAAACTTCATACTAATAATGCACCGTTGTCCTGTAAATGCTCGAATTGATACACGATCAACGGGAAATTTTTCGAACGCAGCTGTTTGCCCATATATGCAAATAAATTCGTAACAAATTGTCGTAATTATTTAATAAATACGAATTTTCGTCAACATTTATGAGGTGCGCTTGCGTTCTTAAACGAAGAAGAAATCGTAATTTCAGTAACGCTGCTGGAATTCGTGATGCCATCTATTGAAATCAATGTGAAATATTACGATGGACCCGTTTGCCAGACCAGCTAAAAGAAACCTGTAAAACAGAATACATTCATGTCTTCGTATTATGTCTTTCATTATGTCGTATTATGTCATTCATGTCTTCGTATTATCGTATCTTGCATTACGTATCGTCTAATTTTGAAGAAAAAATTCTCAATACGAAATTTTAGATCATGAAATCTTCCAAGAAGATATTTCAATTGAGGGAAATATATTGCGAAAACTCTAATGATAAACAAACAGTAAGAATGATAGGCCATAAAAGCTGTAGAAGCTAAACGAATCAGTTTAATGTGATAGATGACTACATATACGTTGAAAATTTGTGTATTTGAAAACAAGTCTAGCACGTATATTATACACTACCAAACAAAAAGTTTGATTCTCCCGCTAGATTTAAATTATCGCGGTTATCAATATAAGTTATCAATATAACGATGGTTTTTATAGCCTATCATTGCTTATGTTCAGTAACAAAAGCTGCCTTACAATTGTTGTAAAATTCGTGAATCTAATTGGCATATGTTCTTAAATTTGGCTGAATCCAAGACCATGCACCAATCAGATTCATGAGTTTTACAACAGGTGCAAAGTACCCATACAGCACCGCAAGATTGCAGTGACATTGCAGAAATATTATATTGTGACATTGCAATATTGCAGCAATGTTGTGTAATGTCGCTGCAACGTTACAGAAAGATTGCAGCAACGTTGAAATGTCCGCCCTCAGAGAGATTGCAGTGCAACATTACAGCAATGTTGATGTGCAATATATTTGCAATAATACAGTGTCATTGCACATAAGTACTGAGCAAACATTAAATAACAATAACATGCCATTAATTTTATAAATTTTCACTCAACAATGTAATAGTTATATAATACACGCGTTATATTATTTTTACCCTTAGGAAAAATTACTTTAAGATGTTTAAATTAACTTAAAGTTATTTACAGTTACCTAAAATTATTTATAGTTAACTATAAATTACTTACAATTAATTATAAGTAACTTTAAGTTAATTTGAAAATTTTAAGTTATTTTTCCTAAGGATACATTGTTAAGTGAACAATAATTATAACATAGATGATAGATATTTCTTTCTCCATGGGGACATGGTCTAAAATATTTTAATCATAATTGTTCTTTTCGCGCTCCAAAGCGTTTGTAGTTTCATGAATCCTATTTAATATGTGCGCATACAATCACAACTGATGACGAAATTCGAGTTGTCGCGCATACGTATCGGTAGCTCCAACAAGAAAAATTTTATTTTCAGTATTCTCGTCTTATTTATAATAATAATTAGACAACAAAGCATTAAAATATTTTGCAACGATTCCAACCACAGTACATCCTGAGAACGAGCTGAGGATGTTTCTTCCTTTTTAGGATGTCTCTGCGACGTCTTCAGATTTTGTACTATCTGAGATGGAAGATTGCATTTCTACTTCCGAGCAATGTTTCTGCGATACTGCAGTGTAAAATTGCAATTTCATTTCCGAACAATGTCTCTGCAACATTGCTCAGAAATTTGCAATCTTACAAGACTACTGCAATGTAACTGCAATCTTCTGTGCTGTATAGGTAGCTTTCTCTGTTGAACGTAACTATTATGTATGAGCGCATGCGCGCGTGTATGTGTGTAAAGTGTCAGTCACAAAACTGATAAACATTGCCAGCGTACTCGGATAATTATTCTAAATAAAATAGCTTGCATGCACCATGAGTCGATTTGATTCCGTTCTCAAGATATGAGCATTTTATTCTACAAGGTTTTCCTAATTTTCATATAATAATCACTTGAATATTAATATGAAATCGTATTACCGTTACAATTACTATATTGAATACTCAATAGAAGGTCCTCCCATCCATAAATATTATTCAAATTGTTCACAACGATATATATGAACCTTTTGCCTGGAATAATAATTTGAACATTCTGGCAACATTTGTTGATCTCATAACAGAACACTCTCTCTATATATATAGGTACATACTATATGTATATTCTGATTAATTTTACTCACTTTTGATCATGAGCGAGTGCAAGAGAACGTACGCTGCTTTCGCACGCGGGGAACGCATAAAGTAAAGCTAGGTTAAAAGTTCGCCAAACTTCTACGATACCCTTATCGCCTCCTGTCATCAGATATTCACCGTCCCTGCTTAATAATAAGCACTGAAAATTAAAGGTAACATTATCATTTAATATTATCATCGTAGATCAACGAAAAGAAAAAAGAGAAGAAAACAAGCGATAAAAAATTACTTGTAAATTATCATTATGAGACTCGTGACGAAGGCGTTTTCCATTGATAGTAAATGCTGCTATATGTCCACGTTCATAATTCACCACAATAACACCTTCGCGTGACATAGCGATATTTTCGGGAGATGAAAATCCATTTGGTGCTTCTAATGATCTCAGAAGGTCGCCGAAAGTGGTGTGTACAAGTACTGGACCATCTACGACATAAGATATTGAAGAAATTAGATAGTATTGCAATTGCATAGTCATAAATACTAGATTATTTGAGGTAATATATATTTTTTATATATTTATTATTATTAGTTAATCTTATTTATATTACTATTGCTATATATCCAAAATAGAAATTTCTCATATAGCACAAAAAGTTGCAGCAACATTACTGCAATATTGCTACAACTTTTGTGCTGTATGGGTTAGAATATTGTTTCCACATTTCTTTTTATTTTTGTTTTGTTTTATTCGCGATACATACAATATGATCCCGAGACAACTAATCCCAACTCGGCAGATATGACGACGGCTGTCACAGCCTGTTCGTGACCAGTGAGAGTTGCACGAGGTGCCGGCGCTTCACCTTCACCGACGATTGTCTGTGTCCTGGCGTTCCAATGCCATAGGAGGACGGTGCAATCTGCGCTTCCAGACGCGATATAGCAATCGGAAGTAATGTTGCATTCGCTACGCGACAAGCAAGTGACGACTCCGTAGTGACCAAAGACTATCTGGACGATTTTTGCTGCAAATATTTTCCTGTCTTTTATAGCTTTTTCGTTAGATAAAAGTGACTGATATTCGACTATCATTTATTATGTTACAGTGTGACCAATTGTGAGTCAAGATTGATTCACCTGTTTCAGTGGAGAACACGCGAAAACTGTTATCCCAAAATCCGCAAGCTACCAGGAATCGACTGTCCACTGTGGTGACGAAGCAGTTACTGCGAATCTTGAGTTTCTGACTGAAATTGTCGCCTAGATGTCGACGTAATGCCGGGTTTGAACTGTTTGCTGCTTGAGCTACAAATATGAGAAATAACATTAGCTTTGCTAATATTAATTGAATGATTTCTATATCCAAGTATCCAAATTCGACTATTAATCAGGTACCCAAATTCAAGAGATTCAATACCTAGGTAAAATCTATGTATCATCTATTATTGATTCTCATAGTAACTAATTTCACATTAATTAATATTATTTTTTTTATTTTTCTAAAATATTAACAAAGAAACTTACAATAATACTTCCTCCGATTTTGACGAATTTATAATAAATCTAAATCTAAATTAAAATAAAGAATATATCTCCTTTTATTTATAAACGCTTATATGCAAGTTTAGGGAGTGAAATAAATCTTGGAAAATAAAATCGGACTTTCTTTGTTAATGAATAATATATAAATAATGTATGGTGAAAGGTAAAAAAAAATTTTAGACAAAAGTTTTATGATCGTAAACGTACTTTATAACGGTGTTCAATTTTTTATATTACATTTTTTTTTATATATTTTTTCACTATTTACATTATTTTGAAATTTTTTATGACCATATAACAAATTATTTTACCAAATCGACGAGTGGAATCGATTATTGTTAAAAAAAATATAGTGAAACTTTTAAAATATCCTATTATATTGCAGTATTTTGCAGAAACATTGATGGTCCAATATGCAAAGATTAATATCTTTAATTAATTTCTCTCGTTATCCCAAAAGCAAAAACATTAAAGGCGAGATTATAAAAAAATGAATACTTTATGGAAGGATTTCATATTTTATATCGAAAAATATTAGGATAAAATATAAAATATTTCAGGAAATATTCACTTTTTTATGATAACTCAGTACTTTTATACTTCAAATGGTCAAAGGAATCAATTTATGTTTAAAAAACAGTTTGAATATACACTTAACAACTATAGAATAGGAACTACAGGACAGTATGTCCCAGAACAATTTTGATAACGCTCGTGGAAGCGTAGAACGGATTAAGGCGAACCAAACAATTATACAGGTTGCGTGAAAAGTTCGCGAAGCGGCATCTATAAAGCCCGTGTCAGACTACGGATTGAAGATCAAGGATTGAAAATTAGATTTCGACAAATCAACGAACTTCGGTTTTGATTCGCTTTATTCCGATTGGTCAAATTTCAATCTTCAATCCGCAATCCTTGATCTTCAACCCGTAGTGTGACACGGGCTTAAGTAAACGGTAGAATTATAAATTGTAGTCGGTGATATAGAATCACTCTTCAGATAAACCTAGGTTAGGTTTCATTTCCATCTGTCAATTCTTTCCATGTTTACAAGCCAATTGAAGTTGACGTGTCAGTATATTTGTTTGCAATGGAAAATTTGAAACAGCGTGCAGTGATTGAATTCTTTGTTACAAATGGTTTAAAGGCAATGGAAATTCATTCTGAGATGGTAAATGTGTTAGGGGAATTTGCTCCTTCAAAAACAATGGTTTGTAAATGGGCACTTGAGTTTCAACGTGATCGTACAAGCATTGAAGATGATATACACAGTGGACGTCCAAAAAGCGCATCAACACCAGAAATCATTGAGCAAATACATGTTATTGTTTCTGAAGATCCAAGTGTGACTACGCGTGAAATTGCTCATACTACTATAGGCATTTCAGATGAACGGGTACGGTATATTTTGCATAAAGAATTACAAATGAAAAAGGTGTTTGGAAAAGTGGTACCGCATACGTTAACAATTCAACAAAAACTCGCTCGAAAGCAAATTTCTCAACGTCATTTGGATCGTTTTAAGAAGAATAAAACCGATTTTGTGCGTCGTTTTATAACTATGGATGAGACTTGGATCTATCACCATGATCCTAAATTGAAACAAGAACGTTTACAGTGGACTGAAGCTGGATGTTCAGCTCCAAAGCAAATAAAGCATGAAAGATCGGCAAAAATGGTTTTGACATCAGTTTTTGAGATGCTAAAGGGATTTAATTGGGATGTTAATTGACTATCTGGTAAAAGGTAAAACAATTAACTCTGAATATTATTGTAACCTTTTGGATCAATTGGACGCAAAAATTCGTGAGAAAAGACCTGGTTTGCAGCACAAACAAATCATTTTTCACCAAGACAACGCACCTGCTCACACAAGTATTTTGTCAATGTCTAAATTCAATGAATTGAAGTACAAATTGCTTGATCATCCACCGTATTCGCCAGATTTGGCACCCAGCGACTTCTATCTGTTCCGAAACCTGAAACAATTCCTCCGTGGAAAGCATTTGTTGTCTAATGAAGAAGCTATAGCAGCCGTAGAAGCATATTTCGCAGACCTTCCAAAAACACACTTCCGCGATGGAATAAAATTATTGGAGAGCCATTGGGCCAAATGTATTGAAGTTAATGGAGACTATATTAAAGAATAAAATCATTTTTAGAATTTGGTATTCTTGATTTCAGTTTCGATCTGCGAACTTTTCACGCAACCTGTACACTGCCATATGATATTCGCAATAATTATCGAGTTATTAATTATAGAAATTTGACGAGAAAACACGCGACGACCTGGATGATTGGAGAAACATTGCAGCCACTTGGGCAAGAGCGCGGCCCAGTCGATCTAGCAACTGTTGTTGGCGCCTGGCAAGGGGAAGGATAATCGCTATTCGGCTATGTACTGGTCTTATTTCGTCGCTCCTACGTCTCATCGCGCGCCGATAATAGTTGCTGAATCAACTGGGCTGCGCTGTAACCCGAGTAGTTCTAACGTTTCTCCAATCATTTCGGCACGCGCTTACTTAGCAGATTTCTTTAATTAATAACTCGATAATTATTGCGAATATCACAAAACAGTATGGGATTTTATCGTTTGTCTTAATCCGTTTTACGCTTCTACGAACACTGTCAAAATTGTTCTGAGGCACACTGTATGAACCCAAATATATTTACAGAATATTCATGTGGTTTCATTATTCGATTTGCGATTTAACCCAAGGATCATAAACACGTTAATTATAATTGGGGATTACCTCTAAGAGTCCTATTGTATAAGATACGAACGAAAATATTTTATTTGTTTATGACTCCGTATCCGCAAATCTAATATACCAATAAAACCTTTCACGGAAATATATAGAATATTATATAAAAATACATAAAATGTTCTATGAACCATTTTATAAAATGTATTACGTATGCTCATGAAATATCTTTATAGAAAAATATTACTAGTTTCAGTAATAAATTATTATTACTTAATAGTTTTTCTAATAATAATTTTGAACATTAAATAAGTTATTAATGGTTTTAAATATTATATTAAATATTATTGATTTCAAATATTTATATCATAAAGTTACTAGTACTTTAGACTCTTCCTCTCTTTCTCTCTCTTTCCCTCTCCCTCTCCCTCTCCCTCTCCCTCTCCCTCTCTCTCTCTCTCTCCCACTCCCTCTCTCTCTCCCACTCCCTCTCTCTCTCTCTCTCTCTCTCTCTCTCTCTCTCTCTCTCTCTCTCTCTTTCTCTCTCATTCAATAATTCTAGTAACACACAATGATAATCTACTACTGAACTCTTGTCAGAGATTATTCTCTTATACGGATTATTCCCTGATAACAAGAGAGGTAAACATAAATTTGCTTTTCATAATATACATTGTTATATTCATAATATTTGAAACAATGTTTCAAAATAAGCAGTTTTTCTCAGATATTTTTTTTATAGCAAAACTAAATGGAATATTTAAAGTTAGTTGGAACATCCTGTATAATAATAATCTGCCGAATGATCGCTTAAGGTTCCTAAATGCTTGTCGCGACCATATTAGATAATACAACCATATTAGATAATACAACATCGATTTAAGAAATGATGCGTTGAATGTTCTTGCATGTTATTTTCAAATAGAAAGATATTTATACGAAAGAATACCTCAGCTTACTAAAACTCAATATTAAACTCAATATGAAAACATGCTTGTAAAATGTTCCTAACTCTATTACTCTGCCTCGAAAATCAATAAACAGTTGCAAAATGACTGTAATGTGTAGCCTAGTCATGCGTATGCGTAATTATTCCATATGATCAATCTTATATTATAATTATTTTATGGCTATTTATAAACTTTCAAGGAAAAGCATAACGTTAACTGATATTAGTCAGTTGTAAGAAAGAATTTTGATATAATTTTTATGTAATAAACATATGTTTTTGATGTTTTGATGTTTTGATCAATCAAAAGTTTCATTAAACGTTTCGTCAAACGAGAAATTAGAAGCCTTAACTAGTGATTCACCACTATTTTCTTTAGCAATTATCAGTAATATTTTTCTATAAAAATTTCTATAAAATATTATATATTGGGTGAGTGCAAAAGTTCGTGCGGAGTTTCAATAGATGGAGTTATAAGCGTCGTAAAGTGTTGTCATTAATACTTCCATCTACATATTATATAACGTTGGAAAGGTGACGTCTTCAGCTGTTATTAAAAAAAAAATCATTTGTTTTCATACAAACTGCTTCGAGAAATATCACTTTGAAAATGAGTATCGATAAGGTGCATTTACGGTATGTTATGCTTTACGAGTTTCGGAAGGGAATAAACGTTGCCGCAGTCGTAAAAAACATTCAGGATGTTTATCAGGATGAAGCACCAGCTAAACGAACTGTGGAAAAATGGTTTGCTAAATTTCGGCGCGGAGAATTTAACCTTGAAGACGAGCCACGCTCTGGTCGACCTTCTGACATTGATGACGATGTTTTGCGTACTTTAGTGCTCAATAATCCGCGAATTTCAACAGAAGAAGTTGCTACAGCACTAAACGTTGACCGATCAACCGCTTTTCGGCGTTTAAAAAAGATGGGATTCGATTTGAAGCTCGATATATGGGTGCCCCATTTGCTGACCGAGAAGAACAAAATCAAGCGAATTTCTGCAGCCGTTTCTTTACTCGGGCGGCTCAATAACGAGTCGTTTTTGGATCGACTAGTGACGGGCGATGAGAAATGGGTCCTCTACAACAATGTTCAGCGCAAACGGA